TAATATGCCTTTTCTAATGGCTGCTTTCAAGATGCTTTGTTAATTTCTCTAATTTTATTTCATATGTATAACTATTGCTATATTTTTAATTTACACTTCATGCAACTCATTATACTTCCTAAATCTAAGGATGTCAGCTATGATTCCTTTGGCAATTTCTCCTTCCCCTCCTCCAGTCTCTCTATCCATTACTTCTAAAATCCAATTAGATGTATTTTCAACTTTTTGCCTTCTCTCTTCCACTTCTCTTTACCTTTCTTTTGTATTTTCCAACTACTTTACCTTTTTGTCTTGCATTTGGGGAATCATTTCTTTAGATCTTACAATTCATAAGTTATCTACTAAGGTGTGTAATTCAGTCTTTAATTTGTCATTGAGTTTTTAACTTCAATAATCTAAATTTTCATTTCCAGAAGCTTTGGTTCTTTTTTAAAACTCCCCCACTTGCTGTTTTTTGATAATGCCTTTGTTTCTTATATTTGTCTTTCAATTTTTAAAAATATGAATGTTTCTTAAAAGATTTTATTTATTTAACTGAGAGGCAGAGTTACAGACAGTGAGAGGGAGAGACAAAGGTCTTTATCCACTCATTCACTCCCCAAATAGCTGCAACAAGCGGAGCTTGGCAGATCTGAACCAGAAGCCAGGAGCTTCTTCCGTGTCTCTCATGTGGGCACAAGGGCCCAAGCACTTGGACCATCTTCCACTGCTTTCCCAGGCCATAGCAGAAAACTGGATCAGAAGAGAAACAGGGCCATGCCATGGCTCACTTGGTTAATCCTGTGCCAGCATCCTATATGGGTGCCAGGTTCTAATCCCAGTTACTCCTCTTCCAGTCCAGCTCTCTGCTATGGCCCGGGAGGGCAGTGGAGGATGGCCAAGTGCTTGGGCCCTGCACCCGCATGGGAGACCAGGAAGATGCACCTGGCTCCTGGCTTCAGATTGGCACAGCGCCGGCCATAGCGGCCATTTGGGGAGTGAACCAACAGAAGGAAGACCTTTCTCTCTGTCTCTCTGTCTATAACTCTACCTGTCAAATAAATTGAGAGAGAGAGAGACAGACAGACAGACAAACAGCCAGGACATGAACTGGTGCCCATATGGGATGCAGGTACCACAGGCAGAGAGCCTACTATGCAGCAGCACAGGCCCCCTGAATAAATATCTTAACCATAATTTAAAAAACACTTGTATCTATTAATGACATTAGCTGAAAATACTGGTGTTGATTTTCTTTTTCCTAACTGGTTCTTGTTCATGATGGCTTGTTTTTATGCATACTTGCAGTTTTAGAATTGTCAGTTCTTTGATGGGCTCTGTATCTGGGAATTCTGAGGGTTCTTTGTTCTAATGTTTCTCACTGTTTTAATGTTTCTCACTAAAACAGCATGCTTGCTTCTTTCTAGTAACCTTGATTAATTAACCTGGCACTACATTAAGCCATTATCTTGGCTTATGGTTTCCTAGAGCATGCAGATCGTGTAAATCCACATCCTAAATCTGTTCTAGCACATGGCTATGGTTTCAAAATTTCTGAGGAAATTAACAATGTGCTTAGAAAAGTGCCATGCAAAACCAGACAAGTCCCTGTTCTTCATCTTCCTCCTTTTCTGGTTTCCAGATTTTTCTAGTCTATCACATCAATTGGGATTTTTCCTTTCAAGGTTCAATTTCAGTTTTTAATACCAAATACCTATTTTTTTTTATATTTCATTTATGTGAAAGGCAGCGAGCTAGAATTAGATCTCCCATACTTTGGTTCCCTCCCCAAATACCCTCAACAGCTGGTGCTGGGCTGGGTTTAAGCCAAGAGCTGGGAACTCAAGCCAGGTCTCTCATGTGGAGGCGTGTGGCAAGCAGCTAAGTACTGGGGCTTTCACCACTGCTTAGAGGGTCTGCACTAGCAGGATGCTGGAATCAGGGGTAAAGCCAGGGCTCAAACCCGGGCACTCCGATACAGGATGTGCTATCCAGACCGCCGTGCCAAACACTGAATGTAAGATTTTAGATTTGGGTTATTTATTGGCAAACACAGACACATCTATTTTACCTTTTCTCTTGTTCTCAACTCTTAATCCTTTCATTTCATTTGCTGAAACAATGGATCAATCATAAGGGAGAAATATTACAATTTATAATCATCTAACTAAAACCCCAAGACTCAATTTCTTTTTTTTTTCTTTTTTTTTTCTTTTTTTTTCTTTTTTTACAGGCAGAGTGGACAGTGAGAGGGAGAGAGAGAGAGAGAGAGAGAGAGAGAGAGAGAGAGAAAGGTCTTCCTTTTGCCATTGGTCCAAGACTCAATTTCTAGTGTGTTGCCTTTTAGGTTTTCATATCTGGTTAGGTGTTTTTTTTTTTTTTTTTTTGAGTCTTGTTGGATTAACTTGCAATTTTTGGAGGCCCGTGAACCACATATAGTTATACATTTGACTTCTATAGTGTGTCTATAAGGAGAGACTATGTTTTGGTAAAATATTAGTGGGCTTAATCATCTTTCTCAAGAGCTTCTTTGATACTTAGTATTTTGAAATGCCAGTGCTATCATCATACATTTTCTCTTTTTGTAGTTTTAATTGGCTTAATTTTGCCAGGTTCTCCAGTGCCAGTGATTTTATATGTGACTCAGTTATCCAACATCATTTGTGCTGACTTCGGAATTCCTAAATAGAAAGCTTTCTTGACATTGCAGTGATTGGCATCATGGTGTTAGATGTTCACATCATCAGCACCTAGACAAGGATGTCAAAGTGATGGGTAAGAACAAACTACCATTCAACAGGAGAAGGAATGTTTGAAGATGCCTGATTCTGTGAGTCACCTAGTTCACTAAGACATGTTTCCATATCATGATAATTTCTGCTTCACTGTACATCATACACATGGAGGTGAGGTTAAATAATAAACACTCAGATTATCACAAGGGCATTCCTTCAACCACATGATTTCTTTCACATAAATTAAAATCTACTTCTGAATTTGTCTTACTAGTTCTATTTAGAGGTCAGCTCCATAAGGATCTACATTTAAAATCAACAGACCTTGGAAAAATAAGAAAATATTGAATAACTAGTCATTGCAGTCGGAGAAAAAAAAATCAAACTTCTCTTGTTGTAGAAACAAAAGTAAGCTTAACTGAAATCTCCACGTACCATTTTTGATTTTGGAGAGAATGTTAAAAGAGTTTAAATAAAACATATTTCATCAGCTCCAAGAAACATGTTTCTAGATTTTAATTTCCAATATCAGAATGCATGTTAGAAGCAACAACTGTACAATTAGCTGTCTTTTCTCCTGCTGTACTTATGTCTTATAATCCATGGTGTTTTAAGTTATCCAGTCTAAAAGTCTACAATAAGTAATAATTCACTGTCAACCAGGAGTCAAAATATTAGACTGGAGCAATAGCTGTGCACGCATGCTTTCAAATGGATGCATTCTACTTGTAAAAGTAGCTACACAGGCCGGCGCTGCGGCTCACTAGGCTAATCCTCTGCCTGCGGCGCCGGCACACCGGGTTCTAGTCCCGGTCGGGGCGCCGAATTCTGTCCGGGTTGCTCCTCCTCCAGTCCAGCTCTCTGCTGCGGCCAGGGAGTGCAGAGCTGTGGCCAGGGAGTACAGTGGAGGATGGCCCAAGTGCTTGGTCCCTGCACCCCATGGGAGACCAGGAGAAGCACCTGGCTCCTGCCATCAGATCAGCGCGGTGCCCCGGCCACAGCCATTGGAGGGTGAACCAACAGCAAAGGAAGACCTTTCTCTCTGTCTCTCTCACTGTCCACTCTGCCTGTCAAAAAAAAAAAAATAGTTACACAAATACTCCTTACTATGACCAGGCACTGTTTGGGAAATTTTAATTATTTTCTTTAAATATTTAAAGAGTCAGAGAGGGGGAGACAGAGAGAGATTTTCCATCTGCTGGTTCACTCCCCAAATGGCCACAAAGGTCAGAACTTGACCAGGCCAAAGCTAAGAGTATCCAGGTTTCGGGCATTGGTGGCAGGGGCCCAAACACTTGGACCACCTGCTGCTGCTTTCCCAAGCACGTGTGCAAGGAGCGGGACAGGAAGTGGAGCGGCGGGGACTGGAACCTCTCCCTAGCTGGAGGATGTTGTTTTTACCTGCTGGTAAGCAAGTGAGCGATATTCTAGATGCAGTATTTTTCTGAAGCTCAGGCTCTGCCAGAGTTGAGATGTTTGCACACACCCAGACATAGCCTACCTAAATACCGCCCAGTAATAGGATAATGACATCTCCCAGCGATGTTCACATCCTGTTAGAACCTATGAGCCCAAGTTTCCTTACACGACAAAGGGATTTCGCCGACGTGATTAGGAGTGCACACTTGGAAATGGAGACTCTCCTGGATCCTTCAGGGGAGCCCTCAAAACCAAGGTCTCTTCCCGCAGCTGCCACCGGAGGCAGCCCGGACCACCAAACGGTCGGAGAGACGCAGGAAGGGACCCTCCACCAGGGCGGGCAGGCAGGCAGAAGCGGCCGAGGCGACGCCAGCGGCGCCCCGAGGGGCCTCCAGAAAGGAACGCGGCTGTGCGGACACCGCGCCTTCAGCCCGAGACCCCGGTCAGTCAGAGAACGCCTGAGCGCTGCATTAGGTCACCAGGCTCGTGCGACCAGGGGACGAAACTCCGCGCAGGAGCTGTTCCCGGGTCCCTCCGCAGCGTCTGGGGTAGCGTCCTCCCGGGACGTCTCACACAGGAACGCCCTTTCCACTTCTCACAGCGCCTGTGCAAAGTGGTGGCAGGTGTTTCTGGGCCTGCACGTCGACGTGCGAGCCCCGATGCTCCCTCCGGGACATCCAGGAGGGAGTCGCTCGCCTCCTAAAGCCCCCGCGCGCGGGCACCCAGGACGCGATGGCCGGCCCTCCGAAGTCACTGCGGCTGCGCGGCGCGCCATAGGAAACCTCGCGATACTCCCAACTATCGCGAGCCTGTAGAGGAAAGGAAAGCAGGAAGGCTTGCCCCGCCCACGTTAAAAAAAAATTTGTTCTCGCGAGACCCTCATGACAGTTCGGAAGCCGGTTCTCGCGGGATGTTTTGAGGCAGGATTGGAAGCTGGAGAGGGGATTTAGAGGGAGATTTCGGGTCGCGGCGGCGGGGCTGGACGCGGTCAGGTGGACACAGCTTGGCCACAGGCCTGCGCGCCGCCGCCCTCTTCTCCTGGGGCCCGGTCAGGCTCCGCCGCCGCGCGTCCTCCCGGTGGCAATGTCCCGAGAGCGGCAGCGGGGGCTGTTGGCCTGCCGGGTGCTGAGTGCCGCGGGAGGTGCCGGGCCGGGCCCCTTGGCCGGATGGAGCCCTGTGCCGCGGAGCCCCGCGCCGGAGCCTCTCGCCCAGGTATGAGCCGCGAGCTCGCCCCTGAGAGCCCGGACGCCTGTGCGTTGTGCGCAGGCGCGGCGGTTCCGGGGTGGTGCCCGCGCCTGCGCAGAGCGCGGCGGCAGTGGTGCCCCGCCCCTTTCCCGGGGTGGGATCGGGTGTTTGCGAGTTTGTGTGGACCTCGTGGGCCGTGGAGCCCCTGCCCGGGCCGCATCGTCGCCCCGCCGTCGCTGGGTTCCTGTGATTAAGCGAGATAGGGTGTAGGCAGAGCACCGATGTGATGCCAGGTCGCTGTGGCCGACCTACGGCCCGACACTGGCTTTGTAAATAAAGTTTTATTGGAACATCGCCCTGCCCGTTGGCTTACATTTTTGTCTGCGGTGGTTTTCCTAGGAAAGACAACAGACTGTATAGCCTCCAAATCTAAAGAACAAATAGCTAATGTCTGACTGTGTTGAAGAAGTGTGCCTGCCCTTGGCTGAGAGAAACAGTGGTGGGAGGAAAGTGACATTGCTTTTAAATGTTGCCTGGTGAGAGTAACATAAAAAACGATTAAGGGCCGACTTGGGTTTTCTGCCTTGGTAAACTGGCAATGGGTGAAATGATACTGGTTGATCTGATGCAGGAAGAGGAATTAATCATCTTTCTTTGCAATGGTTTTCTTTCTCTCCATCGTGTGATAAAGTATGTGATAGTTTGTGGTTACATCGTGAGTGTTAAAGGATAAACTAAAGAATGAAATCTGTAGAAACGACACAGCGTTTGCCAGGGATGCCCGCACACGGTGTGAAGCAGACATAACCTGTTAAGAATTGCAGCAGGGGCTGCTTTAGGTTTTAAGCCTCAGCCGGTACTGTTCTGAAAACAGGAACTGTGTGTTTTACCTGTATAGTAGATTGTAGTTTTACATTACCTGTCTTTTAGAATACCGTCACAGTTCTCAGACAGCTTGAGTCCAGAGATTTGGGCAGGAGAATGGATTTTCCCGGCGTGCTGAGGATTGTGTGGTAAAACAACCTCAGTGGGAGTAACGGCTTCACTTCTGAGGAGCACCCTAAGGAGGTAGTCTTACGTAAGACGGTAGAAATATGTCATTATAATCACAAATCTAATATGGGGGCCGGCATTGTGGCAGAGTGGGTTAAAGCTTGGCCTGCAGCACTGGCATCCCCTATGAGTGCTGGTTCAAGTCCTAGCTGATCCACTTCCCATCCAGCTCTCTGCTAATGCGCCTGGGAAAGCAGTGGAAAATGGCCCAAGTGCTTGGGCCTCTGCACCTCGTGGGAGACCTGGAAAAAACTCCTGGCCCCTGGCTTCAGATAGCCATTGTGGCCATTTGGGGGGTTAACCAGCGGATGAAAGACTCATTCTCTCTCTCTCTCTACCTCTCTTACCTCTCTACCACTCCCTGTAACTCAGTTTTTCAAATAAATAAAATCTTAAAAAAAAAAAAAGCTAATATGATGTCATCAGGAAGGCCCTAGAAAGCTACCAATGGTCTCATCTGATCTCAAGAAATGGGTAGAAAACAGAATTCGTTCACAGTGTTTAATCTTCTGAATAAAAAATAAAACAGATGTAGAAGGTTTGACTGTCCAAAGGATATTAAGAGTGTAGCAGAAATTCTTTTTTTTTTTTTTGACAGGCAGAGTTAGACAGTGAGAGAGAGAGGGATATTAAGAGTGTAGCAGAAATTCATTTTTTTTTTTTTGACAGGCAGAGTTAGACAGTGAGAGAGAGAGAGAGACAGAAAGGCCTTCCTTCCATTGGTTCACCCCCTAAATGGCCACTATGGCCGGCGCTGCACTGATCCAAAGCCAGGAGCCAGGTGCTTCTCCTGGTCTCCCGTGAGGGTGCAGGGCCCAAGCACTTGCGCCATCCTCCACTGCCTTCCTGGGCCACAGCAGAGAGCTGGACTGGAAGAGGAGCAACTGGGACAGAACCTGGGTGCTGGTGCCACAGGTGGAGGATTAGTCTAGTGAGCCACGGCGCTGGCCTATAATTCATTTCTTAAAACCTCAACTGTTTGTGTCCTGGGAGGGGAAAATCTGTCAAGACTGACATCATCAGTAGCTGAATCGGAGTTGCCCTCGGTTAGTTGTAAAGCAGTGGTATTGCCAGTGTAAAGAAGCGGCTGTCTCCAGAGGAAAGAGACAACATAACTGTAAAAAGCAGACAGGCAGACCACAAACACATTGCTGTCCAGAGGACTTTAGCTTACTCAATGACAAGTCCTATTAACTACTACTCTGCATATCCTGTGTCATGCATGTAACATACACAAGTCAGCAAGAATACTCGTATTTACATAGGTGGTTCTTAACCCCGGCTGTGCATCAGAATCAGAGTTTGCATTCAACAGTAGCAGCTGTTTATTTTGTTTAAAATAATAAAACCAGATGCTCATGACGTAAATCCACTGAATCACATCACCCAAGGTAGTGTCCAGGCACGTATGAAACAGAGTAAGAACCACTGGAAATAAACTAAGTACCCTTTAGTCTGTTTATTATAGGACAGCATCTGATAATATAGGTTAGGAAAGTATCTACACATGTTATCATTTGTCTCCTGTGAGTTATTTGGAAAAGGTATTAATGTGAGGTACATTTTTTCCCTCAGCAGTGTATAAATGCAATGTCATTTTATAAGCTGCATTTGGAAACTTTGTTTTCTTCTTTGTTATTGTAGACAGATGGCATCCAGGAGAAAGATGTCTTGCGCCTTCTCCAAATAATGAAAAGCTTTGTGAAGCAAGCATAAAATCAATCACAGTGGATGAAAATGGGAGATCATTTGCTGTCGTGTTATACTCAGATCTTCAAGAAAGGAAAATACCTCTTAAAAGACTTCAAGAAGTAAAATCTGTTAAAGATTGCCCCAGGAATTTTATATTTGATGATGAAGATTTGGAAAAACCATATTTCCCAGGTCGCAAATTTCCATCCTCATCTGCTGTTGCTTTTAAATTATCTGAAGAAGGAGACTCCATCCCTTACACTATTAATAGGTACTTGAGAGACTACCAAAGGGAAGGAACTCAGTTTCTCTATGGACACTACAGACAAGGAAGAGGGTGTATTCTCGGTGACGACATGGGACTTGGAAAAACAGTACAGGTATTTAAATACTTTTTAATTAAAATTCAGTAAATTCATTAAAATGCATACATGAGTAGATACCATATGCAATTCTGTGTACCGCCAACTGTTATGATATCTTGTGTGTGTGTGGAGTGTGTACATGTGTATTTGTGTTTGTATCGCCAACTAGACTGTGATATCCTACCACATCTTTGATATCTTTCTACTTTTTTGGTGTCGGCACTTATTGCTATAAACTTCCCTCTTAGGGCTGCTTTTGTATACCATAAGCTTTGGTATGTTGTGTTTTCATTTTCATTTGTTTCAGGTAATTTTTAAATTTCCTTTAAAAATTTTTAATGAAGTTCTTTTTAAAATTTTTTTTGAAAGAGTTGCAGAGAGAGAGAGAGGAAGAGAGTGTCTCTCCCTTCTGGTTCACTCCCCAGATGGCCACAGGGGCCAGTACTGGGCCAGACCAAAAGCCAGTCAGCCACGTGGGTGGCAAGGGCCCAAACACCTGAGCTGTCTTCTGCTGCTTTCCCAGACCCTTAACAGGGAGCTGGATCAGAAGTGGGGCAGTCAGGACACTACCGTGTGCCCATATGGAAGGCTAGCATCACGGGTGGTGGCTTTATCTGCCAGGCCACACTGGCCCCTGGTTTTTTGTTGTTGTTCTTGCCTTTAAGAGACAGTCAAGGGGACAGAGAAAGAGAGAAAAAAGAGGTATGCATAGAAGAGTTCCTATCCACTGGTTCGCTCCTCAAATTCTCTCATTAGCTAGGGATTACAATCCAGGTCTCCCATGGGTGGCAGGAATCCAATTACATGAGCTATCACTGTTGCCTCCCAGGCGTTGCACTGACAGGAAGCTGGAGTCAGGAACTGGAACTGGAACTCAGGTTCAGGCACTCCTGGAGTAGGTCATACATCTCTTAGCTGCTAAGCTAAGCTAAACACCTCCTTAATTTCCTTTTTTTTTTTTTTTAATTTCTTCAGCAAACCATTTTGTTCATTCAGGAGCATGTTTAGCCATGTATTTGTTGATTTTATTCCATTGTGGTTAGAAAAGATACATGATATGATTTTGATTTTTTTGAATTTGTTGAGATTTGTTTTGTGGTCTAATATATGGTCTAGCTTACGGAATGTTCATATGGTAATGAAAAATGAATGAAATGAATGAATGAAAATGAATGAAGTGAATGAAATGTTCTACAAATGTCTGTTAGATTGATTTGGTCTATAGGGTAGTTTAGTTATTTTATTTTATTTTATTTTATTTAATTTTTTTGACAGGCAGAGTTAGACAGTGAGAAAAAGAGAAACAGAGAGAAAGGTCTTCCTTCCGTTAGTTCACCCCCCAAATGGCCGCTATGGCTGGCGCGTTGTCGCCATGCTGATCTGAAACCAGGCGCCAGGTACTTATCCTGGTCTCCCATGGGGTGCAGGGCCCAAGCACTTGGGCCATCCTCCACTGCACTCCCGGGCCACAGCAGAGAGCTGGCCTGGAAGAGGGGCAACCGGGACAGAATCCGGCACCCCGACCGGGACTAGAACCCCGTGTGCCGGCGCCGCAGGTGGAGGATTAGCCTATTGAGCCACGGCACCGGCCCTATAGGGTAGTTTAACTCTGATGTTTCTTTGTTGACTTTTCTGACTGGATAATCTGTTCATTGATGAACCTGGAGTGCTGAAGTCCCTCACTGGTTGTATTGGAGTCTGTCTCTTCCTTTAGAGTTAATGTGTGTTTTATCAAACTGGGTACTCTGACATTAGGTGCATATACATTTATAATAGTCATATCTTCTTGTTGAATTGGTCCCTTGGTCATTATATAGTGACCTTCTATATCTCTTTATAGTTTTTGTTTTTTCTTAAAGTCTGGTTTGTCTGATGTAATTGTAACTGCTTCTGCTCACTTTTGGTTTCTGTTTACATAAATTATCTTTTTACATCCTTTCACTTTCAGCTTCTATGAAGTGAGTTTCTTATAGGCTGCATGTCATTGGGTCTCCATTTTTTTAAATTCATTCAGCCCATCTGTAGCTTAATTGGGGAATTTGGACTGCTTACATTCAAATTTATTATTACAAGTAATGACTTAATTCTATCATTTAAATTTTTATTCTATTTATTTAATATCCATTGTTCTTCTAATGGGGTTTGTTTTACGCATTTTCTTGATAGTAGTTGGGAATCTCAGAATCTTTTTAAGGCTGGTCTGCTGGTGATAAATTCTTTCAATTTCTTTTTTAAAAGGTTTTTATTTCTCTATTTGAGAGGTAGAGTTACAGACAGAGAGAGGGAGAGTCAGAGAGAAAGGTCTTCCATCTGCAAGTTCAGTCCCCGAATGGCCCCAACGGCCAGAGCTGGGCCAATCTGAAGCCGGGAGCCAGGAGCAGGTACAGGGACCCAAGGACTTGAGCCATCCTCCACTGCTTTCCCAGGCCACAGCAGAGAGCTGGATGGGAAGTGGAGCAGCTGGGACACAAACCGGTGCCCATATGGGATGCTGGTGCCGCAGGTGCATCAGCCTTCTGTGTCACAGTGCCAGCCTCTGAATTCCTTCAGATTTTGTCTGTCTTGAAAAGTCTTTATTTCTCCTTTGTTTATGAAAGATAGCTTTGCTGGATAAGGTATTCTTGGTTGGTAGTTTTTTTTTCTTTTGAAAGTTGGAATGTAACATTCTGTTCATGGTCTGTTAGGTTTCTGTTAAAAAATCTGTTATCCTGATGGAGATTTCCTTACAAGACTTGGTGCCTTTCTCTTGCAGATTTTAGAATTCTCTGGAACATGTTATGGTGAGGATCCAGAAAATCATGTCTATTTGGGGTCCTGTGTCTCCTGTACTTGTGTGTCCATATCTTTCTCCAGATTGGGGAAGTTCTCAGCTATTATTTTATTGAAAAGGTTTTCTGCCTTTACTACTGTTCTCTGTCAGAGATTCCCAGAATTTAAATATTAGTCCATTTAATGGTGTCTCAAAGATGTCAGAGGCTGTCTTCATTCTTGTTTGCTTACTTGTTTCTGACTGGGATATTTCTAAAGATACCTTTTAAATTTAAATATCTTCCTTCTGCTTCATATGGTCTGCTGCTGAGTCTTTCAAATGTATTTTTTGTTTGATTTATTGAGTTCTTCCTTTCTAAGATTTCTGTTTGGTTCCTTTTCAAGGTCTCTATATCTTTTCTGATTCTCATTCACGTTATGCATTGATTTCCTTATTTTGTTTCACTGTCTTATATTCTTTTATACCTTTTTTAGTATCTTTATAATAATTCTTTTGATTTTTTAAAAGTTTATTATTTGAGATGCAGATAGAAAGAGAGTGAGAGCGAGAGAGGCAACTATTGACTGGCTCACTCTTCAGATTCCTGCAATAGCCGGAGAGCTGAAGCCAGGAGCTAAAAACTCTATCCGGGTCATTGTTATGGATAGCAAAGACCTAACTCTTGAGCCATCACTGCTGCTTTCCAGGTACTGCAGTAGCAGGAAGCTGAAATCAGGAGCCAGAGCCAGTGTTGAATAAGGTATTCCAGTGTGGGACAGAGGCATCCCAATTGGCATTTGAACCTCAAGGCCAAATGCCTGCCCATCCTCTGAATTCTTTATCAGGCAGTGTGTTAGCTTCTTCTCCTTGAAATCTGATGTTCAAGCATCGTGTCCCTTTTGTGATGTCGCATTGCCTTGCTTCCTCATACCTCTGTGTCCCCATGTCAATAGTTGTGCATCTGATACAGTTCAGTTGGCAGCAGATCAGTTGTCTCTACCACTTTTACTTTTAAAGATTATTTATTCGAAAGAGTTACAGAGAAGGAGAGGCAGAGAGAGAGAGAGACAGATCATTCTTCCATCTGCTGGTTCACTCTGTAAATGGCCTCAATGGTAAGGGCTGGCTAAAGCCAGGAGCCAGGAGCTTCTTCCAGGTCTCCCAAGTGGGTGCAGGGCCCCAAGCACTTGGGCCATCCTCTACTGCTTTCCCAGGCACATTAGCATGGAGTTGGATTGGAAGAGGAGAAGCCAGGACACAAACTGGTGCCTGTGTGGGATGCCGGTGCTGCAGGCAGTGGCTTTACTCAATGCACCACAGTACGGATCCCGTCTCTGTCATTTTAAAGGGTGGTTCTCATAAACTGAAGGCTTTTTACTGAAGATGTCTCTTCAGATGTTAGTTTGCTAGGCCACTTTGGCTTCAGCTCCACTTGAATGCTGAAATGTGTACTCTGTCTCTACTGTTATGGAAGACAACCGTGGCAGAGGCATGGGGGCGGGGCAGGGAGCTCCTGTCAGTCCCAGCAAGGGTATGCGGGTCCTGGTGGTGGTGGCAGTGCCAGGAAAGTCCGTTGTGTCTGTGTAACTGCCCACTACACCAGTGCATGTCCAGGCAGGAAGCCTCCGTGGGGCCTACCCAAGTTCAGGGTAGTGTGTGCCACCCTTGGGGGAAGGAGAGAGTATAATAGGATGACCCCAGAGCCAGCAAGTCACCGCCTGCAGCGCTGGCATCCCATATGGGTGCTGGTTCTAGTCCTGGCTGTTCTACTTCCAATCTAGCTCCCTGCCAATGGCCTGGGAAAGCAGTGGAGGATGGCCCAAGTCCTTGGGCCCCTGCACCTGTGTGGGAGACCTGGAAGAAGCTCCTGGCTCCTGGCTTCTGTCTGGCCTAGCTCTGGCCGTTGTAGCCACTTGGGGAGTGAACCAGCGGATGAAAGATCTCTCCTCCCTCTCTCTCTCTCTCTCTCTGGTGTGTGTAACTCTGCCTTCCAAATAAATCTTAAAAAAAAAAAAAAAAATAGAGCATGACCACACATCTTCAGAGGCAGGCACCCGGCATCTAAGGTTCCAAGAGCAGGACCAGTCCTGGGGTCACTGTTGCTGCTGGCTAGTTGGGTTTTGAGGGTTGCAGTTGTTTCTGCTGGTGTGACGGAAGGTGTGGAAGGTCACAAGGGTGTGCCACACGGTGTCTCATGGGGCAGTGTGGGTTCTGACTGTGACTCCTTTCACCCTGCCGTAGCCTGTGCTCTCAAGGCTGCAGAGCT